AGTGGACTTCTTTGTCTCTAGTGATAGTCTTCATTTTGAAATCTACTTTATCAGATATGAGTATTGCTACCCCAGCTTTTTTAAATTTTTTATTTGCTTGGAAGTTTTTTTTTCCATCCTTCACTTTTAACCTATGTGAGTCTTTTCTTTTGTTGTGAGGTAGGTCTCTTGTAAAGAATATATATGTGAGTCATGCTTTCTTATCCAGTCAGCTACTCTGTGTCTTTTTATTGAAGCATTCAAACCATTCACTTTTAAGGTGATAATTGATATGTACTTATTTATTGTCATTTTTGTTTAGTGTGGTTATATTTTTCTTCCTATTTCTTCTACTAATTACAGCAGGTTTTTTTTTTTTTTTTTTAGCATATCTTGCAGTGCTGGTTTGGCATTAATATATTCCCTTAGCCTTTTTTTTTGTCTGGAAAGCTCTTTATTTGACCTTCTATTTTGAATGATAGCCTTGCTGTATAAAGTAATCTTCAATTCAGATCCTTGTTTTTCATGACCTTGATTACTTCATACCACTCCCTTCTGGCCTGTAGTGTTTCTGTTGAGAAGTCAGCTGAGAGCCTTATGGGGTTTCCTTTGTAGGGAACCTGTTCCTTATCTCTTGCTGCCTTTAGGATTCCCTCTTTGTCTTTAATTTTTGGCATTTAATTACTATGTGTCTTGGTGTGGGCGTGTTTGGGTTCTTCTTAGTTGGGGCTCTCTGTGCTTCTTGAACTGGAATGCCTTCTTCCTTCACCAAATTAGGGAAGTTTTCTGTCACTATTTCTTCAAATATATTCTCTAACACTTGCTCATTTTCGTCCTCTTCTGGCACTCCTGTGATGCAAATATTTTTACGTTTCTAGTTGTCCCACAGTTCTCTTAAGCTATCTTTCTGTTTTTTAATTATTTTTTCCTTTTGGTTTTCTGATTAGTTGACCTTTTTCTACCCTATCTTCTAATTCACTGATTTGGTCCTCAGCTTCCTCTACTCTGCTGGTTAGTCCTTCCAATGTGTTCTTAATTTCTGCTATGTCATTCTTCATTTCCACTTGGTCGGTTTTCAATGTTTCTATATCTATACTCATGGTGCTGATGTCCTCACTCATGCTGTTGAGCTTCCTCAAGATCATGGCTCTGAACTCTACCTCTGATAATTTGCTTAGCTGCATTTCATTTATCTCATCTTTGATAGAGTTCACTTGTTCTTTCATTTGGGATTTGTTTCTTTGTTTCACCATTTTGGCTATCTCAGTGGGTTTTGGAGCCTGCCAAATTTTCTCTGTGGGTGTTGGTTTTCTGCTGTTTGTGGCTCCCTCTACTGGGTTTTGATGAGCCGGGGTGGGCCCATGTTAAACACCACTGTCAAGTCTTACTTTCCTGGGTAGATTTGCAAGCCCAGGAAAGGTTCAGTTATCCTCTAGCTTTTCCCATGTGGCTAGTAATTGTAGTCTCAATTACTCAGTGCCTTGGAATGTAGCCCTGGTGTTCTGCATAAGAAGATTTCTAGAGGGTGGGATAGATGCTGGTTGTTAATGAGCCTCAATTTTTATTTCTTTGCCTCCCCTGGGAAAGGCTGAGTCTCCAAGGGGAGGGAGCTGCTGCTTTTCCCCACAATTCAGGAAAGGAATACATCGGCCACCATCCTTTTTGTCCGCAACTCAGGAAAAACTCTGAGTGCATTCCCAATCCCTGGTGTCTCCACAGAGTTCCAGCCCAGTCTGCCCTCCTTGTGCCGTAGCCCCCAGGTGATTGTCTGTGGCTATTTTAGCTCTCCGTGCTGGATCTCTGGGCTGTGGAGTGGGCTTGGTCTTTATTCCCCAAGGGAGCTGCTCACAGCTAAGACTGCTGCTCTCCATGGGCTCCCAGCTCACCACCCTCTCGCACCTTCGCAGATCCTACCAGTGTTCCTGGTTATATGGTCCTGTCCTGCTGCTTTTCTGTTGCTTTTTTCTGAGGATTTGTCTTTGTTTTAGTTGTAATTTCTGTTTGGTTCTGGGAGATTGTCTGCATCGCTTCTATTCACTCCACGACCTTTTTCATGTCTTCTAAGCCTATCTAGTGCACAGGTGGGTCGCACAGTCCTTTCTGGTGCCCACACACCCTGCATGTCCCAAGGATAACTGGATGGCACAGTCCCTGCTGGGTTGCACAGGCCCCTCTGGTGCTTCAGCACCCTGCATGTCCTGCAGGTAACTGGATGACACAGTCCCTGGTGGGTTGCACAGGCCTCTTTGGTCCTTTAGCCCCCCCACAGGTCCCATGTGTAATTGGATGGCACAGTCCCTGCTGGGTTGCAAGGGCCTCTCTGGTGCTTCAGCACCCCACAGGACCCACAGATAACTGGATTGTACAGTCCCTGCTGGGTTGCACAGGCCTCTCTGGTGCCCCTGAACCCTGCAGATCCCATGGGCAGGTTGCTAGATTGTACCAGTCTCCCTCAGGCTCGGGCTTCCCACTGCTCTTGTGAGCTACTGAACCACACAGGCCTTTGTGGAGACCCAGGTCCTGCTGCTGGGGCCTGAGGAAGTGCTGCTGCCTCGTGGGGCTCAACTCCTGCTCAGCTTTTGCTGTAGTTTTTGGGGATGGGTCTCAGCTGCTGGACTGTGCTTCTGTTGCCTGGGGATGGATGTCTGTTCCCCAGCCTCTGTTGCTGGGGGTATATCTGGACTCTGATCAGGCTGCTACTATGGGGGATGGTGGTAGGCTCTGGGCTGTCTGTGGCTTCCGCCACCAGCACTTTGGGTGCTCCACTACTATGCAGCGGTCTGTGTTGACACAGAGTGTCCACTGGTCTGACGGTGCCAGGTGAGCTGGTGGGCTCAGGTTACTGGGCTCTAGATGCTCCCACTGCCTCCTCCCAGGGAAGACCTGGGATCTTCCAAAATGGTGGGACCTCCCCGCAGCACAGGGAGAAGCGCCCTGAAGAGCCATTTACCGAGGTAGCCGGCTGCTGCGTCCACAGCACAGGAACCTTCTGCTCTGTCTCTGCACTACTCGGGTTTGGTCATCCACCTTCACATCCACTCTCACTTTCTCACACACGCGCTCACACTCTCACACACTCACCCTCCCTCTGGTCCTGCCTGCGGCCATTTTCCTTTGCCCATAGCTTTAATTTTTAAAAATTAATTCTCACTCGAGGATATTTTTCTATTGATTTTTATTTTATTTTATTTTTTCTTTATTGATTTTAAGAGGGAGAGGGAGAGAGAGATAAAAACATTGATGAGAGAGAACATTGATTGGCCACCTCCTGCATGCCCCCCACTGGGGATTGGGCCCACAACCTGGGCATGTGCCCTGTCTGGGAATCGAACCAGTGACGTGCATGGGTCGACGCTCAACCAGTGAGCCACACCGGCCAGGCTCCATTGATTATTAGAGAGTAGAAAGGAGGGAAGAGAGGGGGGAGAGAGAAAGAGGGTAACATCAATGTGAGAGAGACACATTGATTGATTGCCTCCCACATGTGCCCCAACTAGTGCTGTGGATCGAACCTGCAATGCAGGCATGTGACCAGGAATCAAACCTGAGACCCTTTGGTCCTTGGGCCGATGCTCTAAATACTTAGCAACATTGGCCAGGCTGGCAAGGCATATTTTGTTTTATAATGTTTTGTGTATTTAGGACACAATATCAGGTGCTTATTGAATTATATGCAGATATATGTAGCACATCCAGACATTAAGTGACCTTCAATAAGAAACCTTTTCTGGCCTGATTCTTTGAAATCCCAGAATCTTGATTAAAATAGCCACCACTAAAAATACCAAGATTTCTAAAAAGTGTTGTTGTTTTTTTTTGCCTGGCTGGTGTGGCTCAGTGGTTGAGTATTGACACATGCACCAAGAGGTCGCAGTTTGGTTCCTCATGCCCAGGTTGTGAGCCAAATCCCCAGTGGGGGGCATGCAGGAGGCAGCCAATACATGTTCCCTCTCATTGATGTTTCTAGCTCTCTCTCCCTCTTCCTCTCTCTAAAAAAAAAACCCAAAAAACAAAAAACAAAAACAATAAAGATAAAATATTTTTAAAAAATGAAAGTGTTTTTTATCTCAAGACTATACAGAGACAATGAAGTTTAATTGAGAATTGGTTACTATGGAAAGAAAACATGATGACTATATGTATAAATTATTTAAGCATATATATGCATTAAATTTCATACCCAATACTGATTAATGAAGTTATTAACATCAGCATCCCTCACACAGGAACTGTTGAGACTCTCTGTGAGGTATAACAAGGAAATGTCTTGGTCTCAGTCTGGACTGGATTCTCTTGCATCATCATTCAGGTTCTTTGGGCCCATGGACCTGATTCTGAGACCCAGCTGAAAACGAAGCCCAGCAGTTCCTGTTTGAAGTTGCTCTGATTCTGACTTTTAGCATATTCTCATCAAAGGCATTTCTAAGAATGTTTGCTTCATCCCGAATGCAGGCTGTGGTCACTGACGACCCGGGAAGGGCCATTTCTCAATATGTGGTGTCCCAGTGTGATAATGTACTGTCATCATTGCTCCTCTGGCCTGCCAAGCACTGCTCAAGAGAAAGAGGCTGATTTTTTAGCATTTCCCAGAGTCATGAACTTCATTACATCTCCACTCCCTGAGTATAAAATATGATCATTTATCATAAAGAATACAGAATACTACATACTTTAAGACAGTGTTGTCAAACTATTGTTCATTTTAAAATCACTATTAGTTAAAAAACAACAACAACCCAAAACCAAAACACTGGAAACACCACTTTGTACTATTAGTATACTATAAAAGGGAAAATATTGTTCTTAAGCAAATATGTATTAACATTTATTTATACACGTGCCTTTATTGTTATAATTGAATGTATAATAATGTCTCACTAGACAATGGAAAAATGTGTTGTTAAAAAAACTTGAAAATATATTTGCAACATTGCTCTCTCTCTGCTTTGAATGTTTGCAAAATAATTTTAATAACTTCTCAGTATATTACCCATTCTTCTTTCTGAAGGGTCTCCAGGGCCATGGGAACAGATGTCCAGACTGAAACCATTGACAGCATTTCAGAGGTTAACATGGTGAGTTTCTCCATGAGATATTGGTCCTTTTTGTGAAAGGATGGAGATTCAGTAGTGTCAAAATCACTAGTATTTTTACAAATCATTTTAATTACATATATTGTTTATTTTTCCTATTTTGCTTAATAGAGTTTTAGTTGCTTTACTCTCTTCTATCCACTTATTTCTGCCATTGTTTTCAATTCTTAATCCTTTCCTACTCTTCTCTTTTCCTTCTAACAGTTTTATGGTGGTGGAGCCTATAAGACAACATGATCTATTTAGTTATGTAACATGAACCAACAACAGTTATACAAGAAGAAAGGATGATCTAATACATATGAAATATGAACTCACAATCATTAATCTTTACCTATAAAATGACAGACAGTTGAACCACACTTGATGGACTGCTTCCCAATGTTTCCATTAATATTAATTTGGCTTATCTGTAGATAAACAACAGCAGAGAGCAAGGATTTTTTAAACAATTCATGGGAACCAAAAATTTAAATGAAGAAAATATGGACCATTCCCTTATATTTTCTAGAAATCTAGAAAAGACTGCCATTAGTTTACAGTGGAGAATGGATTTTCACAGAGTCTTATTTGCAAACCATTATCCCTAAAACATTAAATTGATCAATTATTATTCCTCTCAGCCTTTGTATCTTTGCCATTTTGTATGTCTGCTTCCCCTTCCCTTAATCTGTTTCTAAAAATCATTTTAGCTATTTTTATGTTTTAATGTTCCCTACCATGATTTTTTCCCTTTTTATTTTTTTTCATATTTTATCATTTTATTAGGAATAATTCCAAATGGGTTATGAAGAAGACTTATTCATTTGAGTTTGATGAGTTTTCCAAAAACTCTTAAGATATGTTCACCAATAAACAATAAAACATCAGCAGAACTATCATATACTGGGCAAAGAGTCAGGCTGATACCAAAAGCAACATACAACATAAAAAAGATACAATATAATGACAGACAATCTGCTGGGTAAAAAATCATCTCAATGTGAACTCTTTGCTACCAGCACAGAAGTAATTAGCTATTGAATCCAAACCACACCAAGGTAAGCTTGGCTGATGGAAGCCAGGAGTCAATAATGAGGGGGAAAATAATAAGTTTCTCAGCACAAGAGATCTCAATAGTGTTTTGGAGTATTTCCCTGGCTGGTACAAGTAGTATTAGAAAATCTTTTTGGCAAGGGAGAAAAATAAATACAAATGGAATGCTACATTTTGTTTTTAAATCAGCAGACTGTCCCAGGATAAAGGTATCAGTAAAGTAGCAAGTGGATAACTTTAAAACATTATTTGTTGTGGGCTCCAAAAACATTCAAAACAGATTTATTTTAAGTTGTCACAATAGCTAAGTCCAGGCATTTAGGCTTAAGGGAAGTAAAATTAAAAGAGGATATTTCTTTCCCCAAGTTAAGAATTTTTTTTAAAACCAAGCATATTGCTAAAGTGCAACATTATACTTGGTAAACAATAATTGGCAACAAAATTAGTTTAAACGCTGTAATATTCTGCCCAAACCGTCCCAGATACTGTTTAATAACCAAGATGCAAACTAATTTTGTTGTAGCAAGCCTAGACCAATTCTATCAAACATGTCCTTGGTTAGATATCCAGTTTCATTTAACGTTTTGAAAGCTCATTCGACAGCCAGTCAAGTCCCTCATACAGACCAGTTCCTTGTGTAGCACAAGTAGCTTGAACATACCATATTCTGCTACGAAGAGACTGAAGACCTAATTTATCTGTCATTTCACTGATGGCCATAGCATTTGGCAAATCCTGTTTGTTTGCAAAAAGCAGCAACACTGCATCTTACAACTCATCTTCCTGAAGCATTTTTTGCAGCTCTTCAGCTCCTTTCTGAATTCTTTCATGATCATTGCTATCTACCACAAAAATAAGACCCTAGGTATTCTGGAAGTAATGCCTCCAGAGAGGCCTTATTTTATCTTGACCACCAACATCCCATACTGTGAAACAAATGTTCTTATATTCTACTGTTTCCACATTAAAAGCAATAGTAGGAATGGTGGTGACTATCTCCCTTAACTTCAGTTTATACAGAATGGTCATCTTGCCAGCAGCATCCAATCCAACCATCAAAATGCTCATCTGCTTCTTGCCGAAGGGGGAGGAGATGGGGAGGCCCATGGCGGTAGTTGCACTTGCGATGGGCAGATGGGCAGGAGCAGAAGGGGTTTGGAGCCCCCCCCACCCCCCCCCCCCCCCCCCCCCCCGCCGCCGCCTTCTCTTTTCAGGTTCCCGGCAAACTGAGCGAGAAGGAAGAGGAGCTCAGGAAGAAAGAGGGCGGCAGGGAAGGCCCGCTAGCCGGCGTGTCAGACGAAGCTCTGGGACAGGAATTAGCGGGGCGCGGACCTGCTCGACTACTGCCGGGCAGCTCCGGCTCTAGTCGATTTTTTCCCTTTTTAAAAAAATTGTAATTAATTTATTTTTGTTATAGATGTTTCTCCTTTTTCCCCCATTGACACCCTCCTCCTGTTCCCACCCCCCTCACAGCATTGTGTCTATGCCTACCATAATTTTTTCATTTTGTTTTTTCTATTCCTTAGAATCACCTTCTTTGTCTACATAATCACCAGAGCCATGTTTCACATAAGTAATTTTTTTTTATTTTATTTTTTTATCCTCACCCGAGGACATTTTTCCATTTTTTGTACAGATAGAGTGGGAGGGAGAGAGAGGAAGGGAGAGAGAGAGAGAAACATCGACGTGAAGGGACACATCGAGTGGCTGCCACCCGCACGACCAACCAGGGCCGGGGACAAACTGCAACCGAAGTACGTGCCCTTAGCGGGAACCGAACCCGGGTCTCTCCGGACCGCAGGCCGACGCTCTAACCGCTGAGCCAAACTGGCCAGGGCTCACATAAGTAATTTTAAGGTTTTTCAGGATTTTACTTTAAGAAATATGTTTATTACCATGGCTAACTTATATGCACAAGCATATACATTATTTGTTTTCAGATGTTTTTCCTTTTTGCCTACTACTATTCTGTTAATTTATTAATGTCTCAGAACCTTTTTGCCTACTACTATTCTGTTAATTTATTAATGTCTCAGAACTTTGTATAGCCTGTTTTAGTATATTTTTCTATGCCAAATAAAGAATGCCTTATAGTGCCAAGTTTTCAACATCCATTTCCTTGTTCTTACCTAATCAATGTATATTCTTTTTTTGTTTTTTTTTTATCCTCACCCGAGGACATTTTTGCATTTATCCTCAGAGTGGGAGGGAGAGAGGGGGAAGAGAGAGAGAAAAACATCGATGTGACAGAGACACATTGACTGGTTGCCACCCACATGATCCCAACTGGGGCAGGAGACAAACTGCAACCGAGGTACGTGCCCTTAGCGGGAACTGAACCCAGGCCTCTCTGGTCCGCCGGCCGACGCTCCAACCGCTGAGCCAAACCAGCCAGTGCCTCGATGTATATTCTTATATATGGATCACTCTTTTTTTATTTTTTTAAATCCTTGCCTGAGGATATTTTTCCGTTGATTTTTTTAGCTAGAGTGTGAGGGAGGGAGGGAGAGAGAGAAAAAGAGAGAGGAACATCGAAGTTGCCTCCCGCATGACCCGTACCAGACTGATCCCACACCCGAGGTAGTGCCCTTGACCAGGGACTGAACCGGAGACTCTTTGGCCCTGGGGCTGAGGCTCTAACCGCTGAGCAAAACTATCTAGGGCTGGATCACTCTTCCATCCAATTTTGTTCTCTTCAATTGTGCTGTCTTTTCCATTATCTCCCATAGTTGCATTTCTTCTGTGTCCTATCAACACTATACTATGTGTAACTGTTCATGACAAGGGCCTGAACAAGTACTTACTGGTAAGATGCAGCTTTGAATGCATTTTATTTGGATTTAGTTTTCAGTTTTGGATTGGTTTTGAAGTTTTGTTCCTACCTCCCCCCAAAAGTATCAAATAATTTAATTGTGAATGCCTTCAGATGGAGCTGTTTGCCCTGGCACCCAGGCCTGCTTTTCTCTTAGATTCATTCTGCTTTGTTCATTGATGTTGCTCATCTGGTCCTGGCAGTCATTTGAGGCTGTAACCCTTAGCAAAATGCTTGTTGTCCTTCATTTTCTAGTTGGTGTGTGTGTGTGTGTGTGTGGGGGGGGGTTAGAAATAAAACCAGGAAATACCTCTTCCACAAATAGGGAAAATTTAAATTACTTTCATTTCAAATTCCATTTTCCATCTGGAAAGATTTAGTTTGCTGTTTATCCAAGCTAGTCATTCATGTACATTGTTATGTGCACTGATCCTTGTGTTTCATTCTCTTTTCTGGAATCTTTTTATATGTGTATTCTTGCAAAATTTTCAAAAGATGCTTTGGGATATTTTTTGGAATAAAAGTATTTTTGATGTATACACTGTAGCTTATATAGTGTTTTTCATAGAATTAAGTTTAGAAATTTAGATTCTATATATTGTTTTTGTAATATGTGAATACCACAATTAAAGATAAAAATATAGAAAGAGCCCCGGCCTGTCTGGCTCAGCAGTTGGAGCGTCGGCCTGTGGACCAGAGAGTCCCGGGTTTGGTTCCCGCTAGCGGCACATACCAAAAAAAAAAAAAAAAAAAGAGAGAGAGAGAGAAAGAGAACAAAGTAGGGATGTCTTAAGGAAGCAGGGCCCAGAAATGATAAATTACTTTTCATATGTATCTTAATGAGTAATTTTATTTATAGTGTTTCTACCAACTAGTTATTATTATCCAAATGCTAACAGGAAAAATCACAGGACACACCTAATATCCTTCTAGTCCTTATCATTACCTAATTTAATACTTATTTCAGTTCAATATCAAGCCTTAAATGAACTGCTTTCATTTTAACCACCCGACTCCTCACGGGAACAACACCAATAGCACTCACTGCTCAAAAATGCCTTGTTTAGAAAGTTTCAGCTCTTCCCTGCTCAAAGGCAACTTTTACTGGCATTTCCTTGACTCTTGTGCTCCAGGAATACACTCTCATTTCCCCTTTCTGGGAATAGTCTAAGTCACTCCTGAACGACCCAGTGTGCAAAAAAATTCTCATTGTCTCCATCCTGCTGACCCCAAAACTGAACCTCATTCTTCTCCCCTGAATAAGGTCAGCTTTGGTACTTCGTATCAGCTAAACTGGACTGGGTTTTCCATACCCAATTTCAAAAGGTTTTCTAATTATCAGTGACCCTTGGGGCTGGCTTCTTTTGCTTCTCATTTATCATCTTCCCACTCTCTCTTGTCCTACGCTGGATTCACTTTCAATCCGTTTAAATTTTGCCCCTGCTCTCCTTCCAACATTCTGTTCAGCCTGCATCTCATACTTAATTGGTGACTTATTTGTAGCTTACTGGGACTTGTCCTTTGCTTGCATAATAAATGTCAAAGTTCTATTATATGTTAATTCAACAAATTTTGAGTATTGTTGAGAAATAAATGATAGTAAGGAGTAAACAGTTGTGAAAAGTGAAACATATTGTCATTGTCCACACCCAGTGACTTGGATGAAGCCTAGAGAATTTCTGTTCAAACAAACAAATTATTAAATGTAGCATCTGAAAGCCAAACAAATGATTGACCAAACCAATTTGCTTTTTCTGCTAACATGATGTTAAATATAGCCCCCCCCCCCTTACCTGGGGTGCACATTAACAATTCAAATCCCTAAACCATAGTAGCTTCTGGGGAATGTGCCATTTTAACAAATTCACAGGTGATTCTTTTGCACACCTGAATGAGATCCACTATTTCGTGGTACTTTCTGTCTCTCAAGCTGAGGAAAACTGTTGCCTCTGATCCAGGACCTCTGACAACTTCCTTTCCACTAACAGCTCTAATAGATCTAGTACCCAGGTTTTTGTGGGACTATGGTTTATTCAATTTGGTGGGTAGTGGTGGTAGTTCTTGAACAAAAATAATAAAATTTATGGATACAAAATCAGTTATAAAAGTATTTATTCACAATGAGAAATCAAATGAAATACTAGCCCTGGCCTGTTTGGCTCAGCAGTTAGAGCATGGGCCCTTGGACCAATAAGTTGTTTGATTCCGGTCAAGGGCACGTACCTTGGTTGTGGTTCGTCCCTAGCCTTGGTTGAGGTTGTGCAGAAGGCAACCAATCGATGTGTCTCTCTCACATCGATGTTTCTTTCTCCCCCCACCCCATCTCACTCTATATGAAGATAAATGGAAAAATATCCTCAGGTGAGAATTTAAAAAAAGAGAGAGACAAAATGAAATACTAGAGCATGGAGTTTCAGGTTCTTTTCTTCTGAGATCTCTTGAGGTGATGTACCAGAGAGGTTATGTAGAAATGCTTCCCAGTTATAACTGGCTTCCCTCCCTCAGCTTGAATGTGCGGTACTTTTCAGAAACTCTCAACATTCACTGGGGTCCAGGTGAGGGCAAGGCTCTGCAACCGAAGCTCATCCGGAATCTACCTGGAAATACAAGAGAAGCCATTTACTCACAGGCCATTAACACCCATGGCAATCAGCCGGGATTAATGGTGTTGAGTGGTCATCCTGAACCAGATTCCTACTGCCTTTGACTTGTCTCTTTTTTCTCTGCCCACGACTTTACAATGACTTTTTATCTCAGGCACTACTGGAAAGATGAAAGGCTCTCCTTTCCTAGTATAACCAACAAAAGCATGACTTTTGATCATAGATTGATCAAAAAGATTTGGGTGCCTGTTATCTTTTTTGTTCATTCTAAAAGATCCTTCATCCATGATACAACTGTGAAGAATGTCATGCTGCACACACACCCTGATAGAAACGTCCTCTTCAGTCTCAGGTGAGGAAGGCTGTCTGCTGCCTTTGACCTCCTGTCCATGGCCATCTGCGCCACAGCCTGTGTCACTTCACAGGAAGCTCACAACATTGCTGTCTGCTTAGTGATGCTGGATATTGGGACACAAGCAAAAGATGTGATATTTTTCTTGGTTTAACTTCCAGATTTTGAAGAATGGTTTCCTAGTGTAACTATACCCATTCTGGGTATATGGTGGGGACTGATAGGAAGTAAGGTTGAACAAATAGAGTGGAGATGAATTATGAAAACCCTTAAAAGTCTGGCGCACAACTTCATAGGTATGTAATACGGCTTTTCCTCCTTGCCAGCTCACCCACCCCTGCACCCTGCCAAGCAGTCTTGGAATCTTGGATTAGCTAAATAGTTTTCTTAACTATATCCTGCATTTTTCAAGGGAGGGTATAGCCATCATACAAGTTCCTATTAATTTCCTCACTTCCCTTTTCATGTTTTTTTATTCAAAACTTCACTTCTGACACTATGGTTTAACAGTCCTCCATGTTTAATGTACCACATGCCACTTAATGAATCCCAAGTGGCTTATCATAGGTAATTTTTAAAACGTTTGACAAATCTAAGCAATTAAATTTTTTTGCATGTCTTAGAAATCCCAGAAAGATACAGAAGTAAGCTGAAAAAAAATTCTCCCCCAATGTCTTAATCCCTGGAGTCTATCAAGGTGACTGTATATGGCAGAAAAGGGATCTCTGCAGAGGAGATTAAGTTAGGAATCTTGGGATAGGGAGATTGTCTTGGATTAGCTGGTTGGGACATTAATGCAAAACCGTAAGCATCCTTATAAAGAAAAGGTAAAGGAAGAGTATAGGCCACGTGACCCCTAAGACGAAGATTGTGGGGTGCAGCCACCAGCCCAGGAATGCTGGCAGCTCTTCCAGAGCTGTAAAATGCAAGGAATTTCTCCCTAGGGACTCTGGAGGAGCAGGGCTTTCATGACTTCTTGATTTTAGACTTCAGGCCTCTAGAATTGTGAGATAATGGTCTGTTCTTTTAAGCCACCAAGTTTGTGGTGATTTATTACAGTGGCCATAGAAAAATAATATCGATTCTTTTTGCTCATTAAAAACACCCTGTTCACTTAAGTACAAAGGTGCTATTGCCAGGTATTTCATGAAGGCTGTCAGTATTTTTCAGAAATGCAATGAAAGGGCCCTGGCCATTGCGGCTCAGTTGGTTGAGCACCGTCCCATGCACCTAAAGGTCGCCAGTTCCATTCCTAGTCAGGGCACATGCCCAGGTTGTGGGTTTGATCTCTAGTAGGGAGTGTGCAGGAGGCAGCCAACTGGTGTTTCTCTCTCTCTCTCTCTCTCCCTCCTTCCCTCCCTCCCTCTCCCTTTCTCTCTCACTAATATCAATGAAAACATATTTTAAAAAATCCAATTAAAGGAAAGTACTACTTTCAATAGGACTTTAAATCAGGAGTAAAGTAGGACTAATTAAGTACTGGAATCAAGCTTCACTGGGAATCAACTGTTTTAAATTAATTATTTTGATGAAGGGACATCCGTTAAAGAATTAACTCAGTTGATTGTCCATAGCCTGCACATTCCAAAAAAAATTTGGCCCTGGCCCAGCTCCTGGGAGGTAACCTCCAAGCCCTTGGAATATCCTGTCTGATAAGAGTGTCTGTTTACCCGAGGCCTTGGGCCATGCCAGCTTGTCTATATGATTTATGATAGGGGCTGTGAGCCACATGTGATAATACCTCCGGAGCAGCCATACCTTTGTGCCAACCCTCAGTTAATTCTGTGAACCCCAAGGCTCGGTACCTTCCCCGGTTGGCAATACTCCATGCGTGTGGTCACACATCATTGCTAGGAGAGCGAAGCAATGTCCATATGACTCTGCTAGGATAGGGCAAGTGGGAACTTGTTTCTGGTCTCTCCTGGACCCTGCCCTATGCACTTTTCCTATTGTTGATTTTAATTTGTACTTTTTCATTGAAATAGATAGACTGTAACTGTTTGTTTGTTTATTTTATTATTATTTTTTATCCTCACCTGAGGACATTTTTGCATTTATCTTCAGATAGAGCGGGAGAGAGAGAGGAGGGAAAAGAGAGAGAGAAACATCAATGTGAGAGAGACACATCAACTGGTTGCCACCCACACAACCCCAACCAGGGCCAGGGACAAACTGCAACTGAGGTACGTGCCCTTAGTGGGAACCAAACCTGGGAGTCTCTGGTCCACAGGCTGATGCTCTAACCGCTGACCCAGACTGGCCAGGGCTATAATTGTATTTTTAAGAAATATGTTTTTATTGATTTTTTTAGAGACAGAGAAAGGGAAAGAGAGAGAGAGAAACATTGATGAGAGAGAAACATCAAACGGGAATCAGCCTCTTGCATACCCCATACTGGGAATCAGCTCGAAGCCTGGGCATGTGCCCTGACCAGGAATTGAACCAGGACCTCTCAGTCCATGGGCCAACACTCAATCCACTGAGCCACACTAGCTGGGCTAAACTGGAACTGTTAATATAGTAGCTTTGATGAGTTCTGTGAGTCCTTCTAGCTAATCGTTGAACTTGAGAGTGGTTTTTGGGAATTCCTGAACACAGGAGGACTCGGTTATTGTCTACACAGCTACTCCAGCTGACAGCAAAGTCAGTTCAGGCCCAGAGCCAGGTCACCTGGTTCCAGGCTTGGTCCTGGTACCATTTAGTCACAAAATCTTTTTCTTGACCAAACTCTACTCAGGCTCCTCTGAGCTCTCTCCTCACCTAGACCCTGACTTCTGAGCTTTATATATTTGTGTCTGCTAAGTCAATTTAGCCAGAATCTGCCATCCTCAATATCTGATCACCCTTCATATCTGATCAGGCTCCTCATCTTCCACCACCCCCAGATGATGTCTGATCACCCAGGTCTCCCTTCAGGAACAATTCTGTTAGATCTATTTAGCCATAACCTCCCCTTACCACTGACGTTTCCTCTGAGTAATTTTCTATCCACTGACCCCCATCCTCCTCCTTGGATATAAATGCCCACTGTCCCTTGTTCTCTTTGGAGTCATGCCCAAGCTCTCTCCTGTATCAAAAAACCACACTACTGTAGTTAATAAAGTCTTCCTTACTGCTCTTTAACAAATACGAATAATTTTTTTTAAACACCACCCACTGAACCTTCTTGGTTGTTAATTTATTCATGTGTACTATGAAGAAGATGGACTCAAAGACTTCAGAGGTCACTTCCCTCTTTAAAGTACTAGGAATGTGCCAAAATGAGTATGTTTTGTGACACAAAGTCATCCAGAAGCCTCCCTGGCATGGCATTTTGCTAGGTGACTATTGACAGTAGAATTCAATCCACGGAAGATAAAAGAGTTCCACTTCTCTGATTAACTTGAGAGCACCAGGGGTAGGAGCAGCTGTTGCCTTCGTGTTTTGCAGAGTCGCTCAGGGGCCCTTTATGAACCTCTGATCTGCTATTGTGGTAGCAGAGTTTCTACTATGAGGTAGGATCATAGTATCTCAGCATCTGCCTGAAGCCAGGAAAATCCAGGAGAATGTGAAGTTTGAAAAGACAGTCCTTATCAGTATGTAAGCCTTTTGACTTAACAGCACCTGAGTTATGCACTATGCACATGAATGTACCCCTGAAAATGCTCCGGGCTTTTCCCTCTCTCCTGCAAAGAGAATTTCTTCAGTAAACTTGCTTTGTGAGAGAAACCTTGATGCATAGGTTTCGATTACCAGCAGTCCAACCCTTAATTACTAGACACTATTTCAGTTTAGGTTTTCCAAAAGGCAGAAAATATTTAAATCTACTTAAAAGTATTCTCATTTTGCCTGGCTCAGAGGTTGAGCGTCCACCCGTGCTGGTCAGGGCACATGCCCAGGTTGTGGGCCTGATTCCCAGTGGGGAGCATGCATGTTCTCTCTCACTGATGTTTCTCTCTCTCTTCCTCTCCCTTCCTCTCTCTCTAAAAATCAATAAAAAAGAAAAAAATATATATATATATTTTATTTATTTATTTTATTTATTTTTTGTTCAGGTAGAGTGGGAGGGAGAGAGAGGAACAGAGAGAGAGAGAGAAACATCGATGTGAAAGGAACACATCGAGTGGCTGCCACCCGCACAACCGACCAGGGCCGGGGACAAACTGCAACCAAGGTACGTGCCCTTAGCGGGAACCGAACCCGGGTCTCTCAGGACCGCAGGCCGACGCTCTAACCGCTGAGCCAAACCGGCCAGGGCAAGAAAAATATTTTTTTAAAGTATTTTCATTTTGAAGTGTGTTTGTCTGAAGACTTCAGAGCCAGAAGATGTAGAGGGAGCTGACAGGAAATGATGAGGTCAGAAGCAATTATTAGAGTAGGAATTCACCCATGAGCTCTGTCTAAACTTGCAGCGGTTCTCAACCTGTGGGTTGCAACCCCTGTGGGGGTTGCACGTCCCTTTCACAGGGGTCGCCTAAGACCACCAGAAAACACATATTTCCAATGGCAATTCATAACAGTAGCAAAATTACAGTTATGAAGTAGCAACAAAAATAATTTTATGGTTGGGGTCATCACAACATGAAGGACTGTATTAAAGGGTCTCAGCTTTAGGAAGGTTGAGAACCACTGGTCTAAAACAAATCCTCCACCTTCCTGGGTTTGTTTCCTTCTACGTTATCTGGATAGAAGATGGTAATGCCTGTTTTGCATTATTCTTGAAATCCACACAAAACAAGCGAACAGTAAGAGAACTTCAGTATTACGTGCTTATTTGGCCGTATGGCTCCATGATCTGCAGTTTTCCTTTTCTTCTTTTTCTAGGATAACTGTTTCAGCCATGTGCTTTATGGGTTTCAGCAGGTTTCCTCTTGACACTCCGAACTGTTCCCTTGAACTGGAAAGCTGTGAGTCTTACTTCCTGATGCAGTACACACATATGACGTGAACATACCATCACAAACCTGCATCAAATAAGCATGCACTTAGGATTTACGAATCTTGACAGAAGTTAAATATATTTACACCTGGCCCGAGTGGCTCAGTGGCTGAGTGTTGACCCATGCACCAAGAGGTCAGTGGTTCGATTCCCAGTCAGAGCACATGCCCAGGTTGTGGGCTTGATCCCCAGCAGGGGGCATGCAGGAGTCGGCCATTAGATGTTTCTCTCTCATCTATGTTTCTATCTCTCCCTCCCTCCCTTCCTTTCTAAAAAATCAATAAAAACGTACAACATGTTAAATATATTTATGTAAAATATGTAGTTGCTTTTTTTTTTCCTTTACAAGGATGATGAAAAATAGTTTCTCAAATGAGAAGAATCAGGGAAAAAATTATGGTTTGCTATATTTTTAGGTTTCCACAATGGTTACAAAGAAACAGCTCCCTATAAAGGGCTATTCTTGCTAATGTTATTAACATAGACTGACACAGATTTTCCAAATTTGAAAAGCTCTGGAATTCATATTCCCGTATTAGTCACAATCTTTCAATAAAAACCCAGCTCTAGATGTAGATCCCCTAATCAGAGCCCTGTCAAGGGCCTTTGAGCTAGCTCCCTGTCAATCACTTTGACCTACCACCTATTTTTGATATGACATCTTAAAAGCAGTTTTTCATAATGAGGCTAAAATGCTGGGAATCTTAATAGATGGCTCCTACACAGATGCTCCTCTCCCAGATCCATTACAAACCTTCTATAACATATTTGATTATAGAAGAAAATTCTTTATGACCTCAGCTCATTTTGGAATTTTATCCCTGAGATCTATAAAACTAAAGGGGCCTAGAGAGCTGGCGTCAGGTCAATGACTGCAAAGCACTGCTGTGACCTTGCTCAGTGCACACAGACATGGGAGCAGCTATTTGGAGAGTTAAAAAAACTTTTTTTTTTCTTTACTGATATTAGACAGAGAGAAGAAGGAAGAGGGAGGGAGGGAGAGGTAGAAACATCAACGAGAGAGCATATCGATGGCCACCTCCTGCATGCCCCTCACTGGGGATCAGGCCCACAGCCTGGGCATGTGCCCTGAGTAGGAATCGAACCAGCAACCTCTTGGTGCATGGGTCAACGCTCAACCACTGAGCCCCACTGGCTGGGCATATTTGGAGGGTTTTAAATTTTTTTCTTTCTTTCTTATTTATTTTTAGAGAGAGAGGAAGGAATAGGGAGAGAGAGAGACAGAAACATCGATGAAAGAGAACATCAACTGGCTGCCTTCTACATGCCCCTCACTGGGGATCAGGCCCACAGCCTGGGCATGTGCCCTGACTGGGAATCGAACCAGTGACCTCTTGGTGCCTGGGTCGATGCTTAACCACTGAGCCACACCGGCCAGGCCATATTTGGAGAGTTTTAAGTCATCGTGTGGGCACAGGAAAAGACTCCACACTACGCCATTTAACAGGGTCTACTTTTTGGAGATTATTTTCTTTTGGTAGGTGAGGTATTAGCACAATTTTTTGGCACCTAATATATACATGTCATTGGACCAGGCATGAGGATATAGAGACCTCATGGAGCTTATAAGAGCTTGTTCTAAGAATATTATGTTCTTATTTTAGATGCCTGCAATGAAGAGGATCTCATGCTGTACTGGAAACGTGGAAACAGGTCCTTAAACACTGATGAGCATATCTCCCTTTCTCAGTTCTTCATCGAGGAGTTCAGTGCATCCAGTGGATTTGTCTTCTACAGCAGCGCAGGTAAAGTATTTCATGTGGACAATTAGTAAATATTTGTGCACCTACTGTTCGCAAAGCTATATGTGAAGAGACCTGAATCCAAACAAGGGTCCCATTTGGCCAATAATATCATCCTTCTTTTACAGGTGGCCATTTCCACCTGTCTGGTACCTTATTTCTTTTCTCATGTAGCCACTTCTATCTAGGGCCTTGCTTCCATTCTTGGCCCCTGCAGTCTACTCTCAATGCAGCAGATAGAGTGATCTTTTCAAAACATAAAGATCACAATTTTTTGTTGCTCAAAACCCACCCTGTGTTTTTCCATTCACATACATAAAAATTCAGTCTTCTCAGCAGGACCAACAAAGTCCTACGTGATCTATCTCTGACCTTTCCCCCTTCCCCTGACTCTCTACCACATCTTCCTCTCCCATCCTGGCCTCCTTGCTTGTTCTCAAACACACTTATCTCATTCCACCTGCAGGGCTTCTGCTCTGGCCTTTTCCTCCCTCTGCGCAGGGTGCTTTCCCCCCAATCTTCTCATGACCAGCTCCCTCATTTCATTCAGGGCTCTGTTCAAATACCATCTCTTCAGAGTATTTTTCTAACCATCCTATCTAAAATAGGCCTCTTTCCTCACTATTCCTTATCTGTATTTGTCTTCACAGGTATTACTACTGCTGAAACACCTGTTTATTTAACTGCTTTATAGTCAGAGTGCACAACTAGGAAAAGGCAGGGAATATGTCTGCCATGTTCACCATTTCTTCCCTGGCACCTGGCATGTGTCTGGTACATGCTTGGTGCTCAGTGAAAATATCAGCTGAATCAATGAATCAATCAAGTACATCATTGCCCCAAATAGAAAATAGAAAACTTTTTCAAAATTGGGCCGATATTGTGTGCTCTTGACTATGACAGATGTATTCTTGGCAGCATTTATCCAAGGTGCTTTTTTTAAGAAAAAAGTTTTTAATCTTCACCCAAGGATATATATTTTATTGATGCTGAGAGAGAGAGAGAGAGAGAGAGAGAGAGAGAGAGAGAGAGAGAGAAACAATGATGTGAAAAACATCAATCAATTGCCTCCTGTACCCCTCCTGACCAGGGATCAAACCCACAACCTGGGTATGTGCTCTGACCAGGAATCAAACCCATGACATTTTGGTGTACAGAATAATGCTCCAACCAACTGGGCTACGTTGGCCAGGGCCAAGGTGCTTTTTATTACTATTTTATTATTATTTTTGTTGTTAATCCTTACCCAAGGATATTTTTTCATTGATATTTTTGGATAGAATGGAAGGGAAGGAGAGAGAGAGAGAGAGAAACATTGATGTGAGAGAGACACATCAATTTAGTTGCCTCCCACATGGGGATCGAACCTGTAACCCAGGTATGTGCCCTTGACCAGGAATTGAACCTGCAATCCTTCAATCTGTGGGTTGAAGCTCTAAACACTGAGCCAAACTGGCCAGGGCCCAAAGTGCTTTTTAAAATGATATATGATTCATTCTAACTAAAGTTAGAAGTAGCCTTCTCTTCTCTGGTTGTTAGCATTCTGGGTGATTTCAGACAGAACCCGTATAAGATACCATTTTAGATTCTTGAAGTCATGCTCAGGCCAGAGAGTGTGTCATTAGCTGCCTCTGGGTTCAGCGCTGCCCTGGTGGAATCCTTGCCCCCATTCTGCTTTGATGGTAGCGGCTTTCTCTTCAAAGGTGCTCTACTTTACCCTTAGCCCTTGGAAAGATGGTATTCAGTTGTTATCTAGAAGCCTCCGTCATTAAGAGAGAAACCAACATTTTTTTTTTTTTATCCTCACCCGAGGATATTTTTCCATTTTTTGTACAGATAGAGTGGGAGAGAGAGAGAGGAAGGAGAGAGAGAGAGAAACATCGACATGAAGGGACACATCGAGTGGCTGCCACCCGCACGACCAACCAGAGCCAGGGACAAACTGCAACCTAAGTACGTGCCCTTAGCGGGAACCGAACCCGGGTCTCTCCGGACCACAGGCCGACACTCTAACCGCTGAGCCAAACTGGCCAGGTCGAGAGAAACCAACATTTATATCACAGAGAAGCTAGAGGACTTTCTAGGACCAATGGCTATTTAGTTATTTAGATCCTGAAGAAATGCTCTACTTCACTCCATTATTTGTCTACATTGCTTGGGAATCTAAGCTATGTAGACAATTCTGTGCTATGCAGATAATGATATAAATTATAATAATACTGATTGCTTTGCTAATTTTATAAGTAACATCGTTTTTTTGTTTTGATCATTTGTGTATCTCTGGCACATACTAGATGCTCAGTAGCTATGGTTGAATGAAGGAATGAATGGTAGATAATTTGAAAAGAAATTAGAATTCTTTGTAATCCCACCTCATAGAGATAACTACGTTATTATTTTGATATATTTTCTGCTCCTCCTCCTCCTTTTCCTTCTTTTCTTTGTCTTTCTTAATATAAATAAATATACATGTTTTTAATCAGTATTTTTAAAGTTTTTAGTCTTAAATTAAATCAATATTTAAACAAAAGAATGCATGCAATGAACAATAATACATATTAAAGTATAATTTATAGCTTTTTCCACTTTAATTTTGTTATAATGAAATAACTTTGGCACATAATAAATTGTAAATAGGACTTTATAATGTTTGATGCTATTAAAATGTGATGAAGCATAGAAATCCAAGAGTATTGTTTCCTGCACACTATATATATAACATATATAATAATAATAGCAATGACATTTCTTCTGATTTTGAAGCACAAGTATCCATTAGTATATATCCAAGTATCCTCTTAAAAATTCTAGAGTCACTAATAAGCCATTCCATTGGCTCCATACTGTCTTTTTATTTGTGCTTGTCAGACTTCTGAAGCCCTACCAAGCAGGGCCAACACTAATTGATTTTCTATCTCCTTCTGGTCATGTTTTAGAATCAGTCAAAAGCCAGACAAAATACTTGCACGAAAAAACATACTGCACAGAAATAAACTTGTAAGTGTTGTTAAATGCACTAAGAATTCTTATTATTCCAGTGTAGTTACATTTTAAAGAAATAGAATTTTGATGTTTTTTAAGAAAAAAAAATTAGATTCAAATATACATGGTTTATGTAGCATTAATAGTTATCCATAATAAATTTAAAAATTAAAAAAAACAAGTTATAGTAGAAGATTCATTATTTTAAAAGGATTTATACAAATATATTTTAATGTATATACAAATTAACAATAGGTACTGCTGAAAAGAAGGTATACCCTGGAAAATTTTTATTTTAAAAAATATATTTTCATTTGATTAAAAAACTTTTTTTGGGGGGGGGAGAGAGAGAGAGAGGAAGGGAGAGAGAGAGAGAGAATCATCAATGTGAGAGAGAAACATCATCGGCTGCCTCCTGCACGCCCCCTACTGGGGATTGAGCCCACAACCTGGGCATACACCCTGACAGAATATTGAACTGGGACTTCTCAGTCCATGGAACACGACACTCAATCCACTGAGCCACACCGGTGGGGCAAAAAAGCATTATTAAAAAATCATAAGGAAGAGAAAATGCATTTACAGCAGTGGACTATATTTATTGATACCATAAGTTTACACCATCTGTTTACAGGATGAAAGAAGCTCATGTGTGAGTGGACTTATGCAATTCCAACCCGTTTGGTTACGGTACTTCAGCTTCTGTCTGAGAGCGCAACCGCCAGGTCCTCGCTTTCCCCGTGGCCCTGCCTTCACCACTACTTGGCAATATCAACAATCTGGAAAGCGTTTCTGCCCCCCCTTTCCTTTCAGTGTCCCTCGAAATCATGCACTATAGATTTGCAAAGGAAAAAGAAATGAATCCTGCCCCAAGGGATGCGTTGAACGCTGTTCTTTTTTTGTTTTTTTGTTAATCCTCACCTGAGGATATTTTTCTATTGATTTTTAGAGAGAGTAGAAGAGAGCGACAGGGAAATAGAGAGAGAAACATTGAAGTGAGAGAGACACAACAATTGGTTGCCTCCTGCATGACCCTGACTAGGGCAGGGGATAGAACCTGCAACCCAGGTGTGTGCCCTTAACAGGGAATCAAACCCACAGCCATTTGGTCCATGGACCAATGCTCTAACCACTTAGCAACAGGCCAGGGAAAACAAGTGTTATTATAGCACAATGTAGTGGCTAGGTGTTCAAGTTCTGAAGAACTGCATGAGTTCAAATTGAGACTCTACCACTTATTAGAAATGTGACCTTGGACTAGTTGTTTGACCTCTCTATGCCTCAATTTTCTCATCTTTAAATTGGTTTCATAATATTCTCTACCTTGTGGGGTTGTGAGGATATATGATTTAATACTTTTAAATAACTTAGAATACTGACTGCATAAATAACTTAGAGTACTGTGTGCCATTATGATGAGTGCTCAATAAATATTAGCTAGTTGCTATCAGCATCATTACCATTTCATCAACATCATCATCGTGATTCTTTTGACACAGGATGAGGCCTTACCATGAACAGGCCACTGATGTGACAGTTTCCAGGAATAAAAACCATCTTGAACCTTGTTGTAGGGTTGACTCCCATTTAATTTTTCTCTCTTCGACATTCCTGGCGTCCAACTCCCCAGCTCTTTTCTCTGTTTCATGAAAGGCCCTTCTTTCTACGCTGTGGCAACCTGATTGAGGCAGACGGACCCATCCACCTAAGTTTTTGTTCACATATCAAAACTTATGATGCCACACACATACCAAAAGTAAATAAAGAGATTTACTGCTCACATAATGAGGTTTTCTAGAAACTGCAGAGTAGGCTCTCAAGCAGGTCTGAAAATGGCTTTCGGGACTGGAAGGGTGGGGCTGGGTGAGGGTTCTCTTGCACCGGCAGGGCTTGCACAGTTTGATGTTAGCACTCGGGGAAGTTCTGTAGATGGTCCAAAATTTGGCTTTAAGCTTCCTTGCAGTCAGTGTGAAAAGGGAAACCCAAACAAAGTACGTATGTGGATGTGCCCACAATTTGTGCTTTTGATGAGCATGCATTAATCCACATCACCAACACGAGTTTATATAATTCTAACAAGAAGCAAAGAAACATCATTGTTTGGTTACTTTTTTCCAGATTTATCATAGATAAATTAATGGTGTCCATGAGGCTTTGAAATAAAAACAGTTTATGGATACTCCTTCTCTCCCCCTCTCCCCTTAAATTCCTAACTGTCTGGATTCCAACTTTGAATCCAATGACCTAGTAGCTACTGTGAATCTTTGCCTTCAGATAAAATGTTTTATTTAATTTGTCATAGCTAATAAAAGGTTTACTGATTATTGCATGCACTCAGTGTCCATGTATTGAAGACTTGCCTACTTGCAGAAACACTGCAAACACAATATATTTTGGAGAAAGGTCTTTAAAGTCCATCCCACAAAATACAATTACCATTCATCCATGAACATCAGGTTTGAAATTGAAGGGGGATCTTTGAGACACATGATGAAACAGACTGCAGTGCAGTTCAGTTCATCCCACAAACATCGAAGGAGTGCCAACCCCAGGCCCTGTGCTGGTGCTGGGTTAACAAGGCTGAGTGTTGAGTTCCGTGTTCCCTAAGAGCTTGGAGTACACAGAGGCAGGTCGTCTCTCTAAGTGTGGGGTTTCCATGAGGAAGCCTGTTCTCATGAAAGCTTTGCCTTTTTCTCATAGGTTGGTACAACAGGCTTTTCATCAACTTTGTGCTAAGGAGGCATATTTTCTTCTTTGTGCTGCAAACGTATTTCGTGGCTACGATGATGGTAATAGTTTCCTGGGTTTCATTTTGGATTGACCAGAGAGCTGTTCCTGCAAGAGTTTTGCTGGGTAAGTCTTTCCACACCTTTGTGAAATGTTAATATGGGAGGAAGGTAAATGAGAATAGGTGCAGTGAGGGTTTAGTAGGGGTAGCCTGAGACATGCACTCAGGTCACAGTGTTTATTTTAATAGCCTCAAGAGCTAATTGTAACTGGACTCTTTCCTTGGGAACCCAGACAGCGTGTATGGAGGCTACACCTGACCAACAGCTGGATGACAGTAAGGGGAGAGGAAAAAATTATGAAGCATCAACTGCTTCATTTTACAAATTTATCTCTTCTTCCTTTCGGGGAAACCTCCCTATGCCTTTCCCAAGTCTATTTTGCTTTGCTTGACAAACCTTTACATCATAGGAGAAGGAAACTTCAAACTAATTCACGCTATACTTTTGGTATTTTAATTTTTTTTTTAATCTTCACTCGAGGACATTTTTTTTGCACTTAATCTTCAGATAGGGCAGGAGGAAGAGAGAGAGAGAGAATCATCAATGTGAGAGAGACACACGGAATGGCTGCCACCCACACAACCCCAACCGGGCCGGGGCAAACTGCAACTGAGGTACGTGCCCTTAGCGAGAACCGAACCTGGGTCTCTCTGGACAGTGGGCCGACGCTTTGACTGCTGAGCCAAACCGGCCAGGGCTACTTTTGGTATTTTAATAAGTTACTTCTTGGGGAGAGGGGAGCTTGAATTTGGAAACACTGTTGCTAGTTAAATTAGGGCTAAACTTAAATGCCAAAATCAGAATGAGCCACAGAAATTTTAGGTACGGTGGCACTTTAGCTGGCGAGAGATTTCGAGTGGAAAGGTGTCAGCCTCACTGAGTTTCCACCTCGGTGTTGATCATCTACTCCATCTGGCGTGTGATATACCACTGTCACACATTCTGCTTTGTAGGGACCAACACAGACCCACTAGCTGTAACTGAGGTGTACAGAGTGGAATGTGCCAAGCTAAGCACTTAGATAACATGTTACTTAATGAGAACCCAAGAGTCTTCTTGGCTGGTTCAGAGCAGAACTCCTTCGTTTTGACTGATTTGTTCTTTCACCTATAATGCTCTGTCTGGAGAGAAGATTGTTATAAGTGGTTCACAGTCATTGTAATTAGCATACAATTCATTCCAAAAATGGTGATTTCTGAGTTAATGTTCACAAATTATATGCATACTTCAAAAGATAAGTGGAAAGACATAAATGGGCATTAATATTAATATTTAGTTCACCTCTTTCCCCCATTAAAAGCTTCAATCTATGAGCATTTAACACTTGAATCTCTTCAAGGGAAAAAGTGCCATCTGAATGAGTAATGAAATTGCTGTGGCTGTTACTTCATGTCAGAGCAGCCGTGCCCTGACCTCGGTGGGGCAGTGGGCAGTGCAGACCCCGGGGAGGACTAAGGCACGTCTCCAGCTCCTGATGAGAAAGTCATTTCATTCTAGCCGTTTATGAACATGATTTGCAATCAGAGTCCTGAAGCTACTGCTCAGCCTTTTACACTGTGGCAAAGACAGAATTAAAGCTGCTTCCAGGGCAGGTTGGGGTGAATGGAGAACACTGAAGTGCATTTCAGTTGCCCCTGAAATTCTGTGCTTCTTGCATCTACATGGATCCCTCAGGATAAGGAAACTGCTATGCAGATTTATGTAAAATAATATACAAATCAAAGTGTCCCTCTCCCACCCCCGCTTTAAAAAATAATTTATTGTGTGGTTTGTTTTTTTCGGTTAATCCTCACCTGAGAATAGTTTTTCATTGCATTTTAGACAGAGTGGAAGGGAGGGAGAGAGGGAGGGAGGGAGAGAGAGAGAGACATCGATTGTTTGTCCCCTGCACAGCTGGGCCAGGGATTGAACCTGCAACCCAGACCCGTGCCCATAGAACCTGAGACTCTTCCATCCTGGGGCTGACACTCTAACTGCTTAGCCAAACCGGCCAGGGCTCCCCTACCACTTTTAAATAAAGAAACTGTAGTATGTCAACACTGCTGTCCTCTCAGGCTTTTGCTCCCTACAACCCTCAAGTCTTTTCCAAGCTACTTGGCCCTCTGCTTTGCTCCCTCTTCCCAGTTCTGTGGCAGGTCCCTCTGACTGTGTCTGTCCCACTTGCCTTTTCTCAGTTCCCCTTCTTCACTTTCTCTGAAGCATTTGATACTATTAATCATCCTCTCCAAATTCAGAACAAAGTGCTGTGGTCAGGAGCCCAGCCTCGTCTTCCTCACCAGGACAGTGAGATTATTAACACTGCCTTCTACAGGTCACCGGGAGAGTACAGAGCAGCATCCACGTGGACTCGGCGATGCCGGCCCGCAGCGCTGGGTCAAATCAACTGAACAGGAAATTTGTTTTCATTACTCTGCACTACTCTAGTTTCTTCTCCTTTAGACTTCTCTTTCATTTATCTTCCCACTCTTTACTTATTTCTTCCACTCCCTCGAAATTTTTTTCATTTTTGATTCTCTCATCAAATGGAACAAGCCTCTTCTAACTAACTGTCCTTATGGAAGTAAATCCCAAATCTGTGTCCTTATCGCAAATCTTTCTATCAAAATCCAGACAGGTGTTTCTAGCTGCCTTCTGAACTTCATCTTCAGTTGGGGGCACTTCGCATATTTAAAACTGAACAACTGCTGTTTCCCCTGTGTCTGGATCCCACTTTTTTTTTTCCAGGTTCTATTTAAAAATTTATTTGTTTATTTTTAAACTTATCTTTATTGTTGAATATATTACAGATGTTCCTCCTTTTTCCCCTATTGACCCCTTCCTCCCCACTCCCGCCCCACTCCTGCCTTTCCCCACACTGTTGTCTGTGTCCATTGGTTATACATATATGCAGAGAAGTTCTTTGGTTAATTTATTCCCACCCCCCAAACCCCTTCCCTTTGAGGTTTGTCAGTCTAACAACCAATTTGTACTTCTTAATCCATTCACCTTTTCCACCCATTCCCCTAAACCCTCTCCCATCTGGCAACCAACAAAATGTTCTCTATATCTATGAGAACGTTTCTGTTCTGCTTGTTCATTTTGTTTGTAGGTTCAATTGTCGATATATATGTATTTATTGACATTTTGTTGGTTCATATTTTTGATCTTCTTTTTCTTCAAGAAGACCCGTCAACATTTCATATAATTATGGTTTGGTGGTAATGTACTCCTTTAGCTTTTTCTTGTCTGGAAAACTCTTCATATGGCCATTGATTCTAAATGACAGCTTTGCAGGATAGAGTAATCTTGGTTGTAGGTTCTTGCTTTTCATCACTCTGAATATTTCTTGCCACTCCCTTCTGGCCTGAAAAGCTTCTTTTGAGAAATCAGCTGACAGCCTTATGGGAACTCCCTGGTAGGTAACTAGCTGCCTTTCTCTTGCTGCTTTTAAGATTCTCTCTTTGTCTTGAACTTTTGCATTTTGATGATGATGTGTCTTGGTGTGGGCCTCTTGGGGTTCATCTTGTTTGGGACTCTCTGTACTTCCTGGACTTGCATGTCTGTTTCCTTCACCAAGTTAGGGAAGTTTTCTGCCATTCTTTTTTCAAATAGGTTTTCAATTTCTTGTTCTCTCTCTTCTTCTGACACCCTGAAGATGCAAATGTTGGTGTACTTGAAGTTGTCCCAGAGGCTCTTTATACTATCATCATTTATTTGGATTCTTTTTTCTTTTTGCTGTTCTGATTGTGTGCTTTTTGCTTCCTTATATTCCAAATCGATGGTTTGCTTCTGGGCTTTACCTACTCTACTACTGAATCTGTGTAAATTATTCTTTATTTCAGTTAATGCCTCCTTCATTTCTGATTGGCTTTTTTATGCTCTTGAGGCCCTCACTAAGTTCACTGAGGTTCTCACTAAGTTCATTGAGTATCCTTAAAAGCAGTGTTTGAACTCAGCATCTGTTAGGTTGCTTATCTTCATTTCGCTTAGTTCTTTTCCTAGAGTTTTGTTCTGTTCTTTCATTTGGGACCTGTTTCTTTGTCTCCTTATTTTGGCTGCCTCCCTGTGTTTGTTTCTATGTATTAGGTAGGGTTGCTATGTCTCCTAGGCTTCCTAGGGTGGCCTATTGTAGTAGGTGTCCTGTAGGTCCACTGGCACAGCCTCCCTGATCTCCCAATTGGGCCCTCGAGGTGCACCCCTCATATGGACTTTACAACCTTCTGTTGTAATTGAGTCCTGATTGCTGTTGGCATGTCAATGAGAGGGTTTTACTCAGGCTGATCAGCTGCAAGGACTGGCTGTGCCCACTCTCCACTGACCTCTGACTACCTTGGATGATCAGCTGTGCAGGGGCCCACCACACAGAACAAGACTTACTTCAGCAGGGCTCTGGTACCCACTGAGTCCATTCCTTGAGTGTGTCATTTGTGGAGGTGGTTGGGTGATGGTGATTCGCAGTGTTCTGAAGCTGTCCACTGGGTGTGCTGGCTCTGGGGCAAGGTCAGCCACTGCCTGTGTTCTATCCAGGACCACCCGGCATAAGCTACAAAGCGGTCTGCAGGTGGCTCCTTGTGCTGGGCTTGGAGGTGCCCAGATAAAGCCAAGTCATGAACCAAGGCTGGCTGCTTCTAGTGCCAGGCCTGGGGCCACTTAACGAGAGGTATGGGGTTCGTTGAGACCAGATGCTACTTGTTTGAAAGAATTTGGGAAAATCTGAAGTAGGATCCGAGACAGGCCATTCCTTTGGTAAAGCAACTGGCAATAGCTTGGGTGGGCCTAAAAATTGGGTGGGGCAGGGCCTCAGGGAATCACCAGAGCAGGGCAAATGGTGTAAGCCAGGTTGCTGGAGTCCCAGATATGGTGGCTGTCTGCCACCCCAGGGAAGGGCTCACCAAAGGAACAAAGCCTCTGATAGCATGTCTTTCCAAGAGATAGCTGCTTCTCCAACCCTCGCCCCAAAGACAAACAACTCAGTTCTTCCCTGTATGTCTCTGGTACCTTTTAAGCTGCCTACCTATGCTGGAGCCTGGAGGGTGCAAGTCTGAGTATGTCCGTGCGCGGGCCCTTTAAGAGGAGCTGCCTGGG